GATTGTCTCCCTTGTGGAATAAAGTGACATTTTGTTCCAATCCCCTTTTTCCCACCTGAGAGTATTTTCTTTCAAAATCCCTTTTCCCTGTTTTCTTGTCCTGATGACATTTCTACAGCTTTCGTGCATTTGCAAGGTATGATCGGGGTGGGATTCTACCAGTTTGCACCTATTTGCTAGAATCGGTTGTTAACATTCTAAGCAGTTCGGAGAACTGGTTTTTAGAGGAACTTACTGATCTAATCCTGTAAGGAAGGCAGGAAGGAAACATTCTGGTGTTGCTTACAGGAACTGCCTCTCCATTAACCCTTTTTACATTCTTGGCAGGACTAGACTTCCTGTCTCTGGAACGTCTCTGGAGTTTTTTCCCCCTCCTTTGCTGGTACTTTGTTTGTGTGGAATGACCATTCAAAGTTACAGTGGCACTGAAAAAAAGTGACTTATGACCATTTTTCACACTTACAACTATTGCAGCATCCCCACAGTCAGGAGAGGCCAGGCGAGGAGATGCGTGCCTCAATGTGAGTGATGTTGAGTTGGCCACATCCAGCCAACCACATAACCATCAAGCCATGTCCACCCAGTCACATGACCACCAAGCCACGCCCACCACCTAAGTCATGCCCACAGAACTGGTTGTTAAAAAACATTTGAATCCCACCCCTGGGTATGATGTCTTTGCAAATAGAGGACCACTCGTTTGTCTGCTGGAGAAAAAGCATACACCGTTTGCATAAGCAAGGAAAGTCAAGCTGGACCATTTTTATTAATAGATACTGTGAACCAGCCAAGAAAGGATTAAGATCGGCTTTGTCGCTAAAATCTTCCGGTGAACTTGGCAAGCCTCCAGTTGGGAGGATTCCAAAAACCGGGAAATAAAAACAAGAAAGGACAATCCTTTGGATTGGTGCATGTTGGCAGGCAGAAAATTGAACTAGGAGAAAAGAATTAACCAGGGGTGGGCTTCAAAAAAAAAAATTAACAACCGGTTCTCTGCCTGGTTGCTGGGTGGGCATAGCCATAGTGGGCATGGCCTAGTTAGCCTCCTGCAACACCCTGGGAGTGAAAATGGGCTGCGGGGGGACTATTTGTGCCTTCTCCGGGCTCTGGAAGCTCTCTGGAGGCCGGAAATGGGCGTGTTTCCAGCCTTCTGGAACTTCCAGGAATGCGTTTTTTTTGGCCTCTCCCAGCTTCCATACGGGCCCTGCACTTACCTGCGATCCAAAATGGGCTGCAAGGAGACCTCCTGGGAGGGGAGAAGTGGGTGGGCGGGGCCAGCCAGGGGTGCGATTTGCTGGTTCACCAAACCGGCCATAAAATTAACAACCGGTTCGCTCAAACTGGTGCGAACCGGTAGCAGCCCATCTTTGGAATTAACTGAAGCCCCGAATGACATTTCTATTTGTTGTCCCAACAAGGTCGAATGTCTCACATCTGCTATTTCTTCCTCAGTTATGTGCCACGTGCTTTTTTTTTGTTTTGCTCACTTTAATGCAGAAAAAGGCAGTACGCTGATATTATGCTGCATTTTCAAAGACCGTCTGAGCAACCATTAAGCCCAGAAGGTCACCCAGGGTGGAGCCTGCTAAAAAATTCATTTCCACGGCAATACAAGTCGTGCTCGCCTTATGACAACTGAGTTCAAAATTTCTGTTGCTAAGTGAGACAGGGGTTAAGTGACTTTGGCCTCATTTTTAAGACCTTTCTGGCTACAGTTGTTAAGCCATGTTGGTCTGGTGTTAGCCTTGGAGTTAAATCTGTGCTGATCTGGTTGCTGATTCCTAGTAAAGAAATACTGGAGTCTATTTTTTGTTCTCTTTTGGGCTGGTTGATTGTCTCTTCTGCATAGTCTATAGCAGAGGTCTCATTCTCACGGCCCACAGGCCAATTGCGGCCCACAGGCCAATATCCTGTGGCCCCCACTGTGATATGAAAGTATAATATTAGTGCATTCTCCATGCGTCGCTAGCTGGCTAAACACTTCTATGTGCGGCCTAGCCTCACCCAGCCTCTGCCTCCAGCGGCCCCCAGGTAAATTGTGTTTGAGACCCCTGGTCTATAATCTATGTTTTTCATGTATACCTGTCTATTGATGGTGGATTTGTCAGAGTGCCAGGCTTCTAGAAATTCCCTGGTGTTTTTGGACTTGGCCTGGTCTAGAATTGTCCCATTTTCCTATGGTTAAGTCTGTCTAGATATTGTGAAATTAAAGAATTTTTGTCATGCTTTCTGATTCCCTAAGCAAACTGTTGTATAGTCAAGGACTACCTGTGCAGGGCAAAGAAAAAGGAAAGCAGAAAAGAAAGGGAGAAGATTTGGATTGGTACATAAACCACACTTAGAATTTATCCACTGTAATGCTTCGGTTTCAATTATGTAGTTACAGGGGTGGGATTCAGCCGGTATGGACCAGTTCGGGTGAACCAGTAGTTCCGGTGATTAGTATGCCCTCCCACTCACCCCTGCCCTAAACTGTCCTATATTTCCATGTTTTACAGACCAACTAATTTGTGCGGCACACAGTGAATTGCTGCGCATAAGCTGTTTTACTTACCAAGGCTGCAGCAGAAGGTAAGTTTTAGAGCTGAAAATATGTGGTTTTCAAACGCTGCCTGCACGCGCTCACCAAACTGGTGGTTGAATTGTGTAGTTATGACTAAACCTTGTTCTGACATCTTTAATGAGATGTGACATAAGCATGAGACGGTTCCGATTTGTTTGATTTAGAGGGGGATATTTCAGATATTGGTTATTTGATTCCACAACTGCATGGGGTATTTTGTGTATAAAACTTATAGACTTTCTAGGGCAATGTTTACTGAATCAGTCAAAACTGCAAAATTGTGTTCCTAAACATGTAGATTGAACTCGCGAAATAAAACAAAATCTCAGGACTTGAAAATATTTCCACACTCGTGTCACCAAGGAATTCTTCCAACGGTGATGTACAGATTTAAATTATCGAAGAAACAACTGTGTGGCAAACAAAGGCGTGAAACAGTCAAATTAAGAAAACAAATTGCGTATTTTTTAAAAAATTCAATAACAGCGATATTTCACTTGTCTCTACAAATTCTTAATTTATAATAAAACCTGATTTGCTAGATTGTTTTGTGTCACCCTGATGTATTATTATTCATACACTGAGAAATGTATGTTGATGGCTGTTTCTTATTAGGGATAATTTAGTGTCATACACTAATTTACTATCAAGTCTCAGAAATACTATTTTCTTTGCCGGATAAGAATTGTGCAACCATGGTGAGATTTTAACACAACTATTCTGAATGTTGTCTTTTTTCCTAACTTGGTGAAATTCTCTTGAACATGTTAATTAAAGCTCAAACTCATAGCATTATTCATTTGGTCTGTAACGTGTTATTTACAATATGTTAGCAAAATAAATGAATCATGAGGACCCTGAGTAAAATCTTAAAATGTTATTTGAAGGTTCAAACAGCAATCAATCAATCAGGAAAGTTTAACAATAGGCCCCTTTAAACCAATGGATTAAGAGCATGTTTATTTTTAATTTTTCCAACATCGCTGATTAACATGAAAACAGAAGATTTTCAGATCATCAAACCAGTTTCACAATCCGCTGATAATTTTTTTGCATTTCACAGAAATAACCCTGGCAAACATTAATTAGATGAACGTCATTTAACATGATCATTTAACAATATAAGGCATATTTACACCATCCTCACAAAACAAACACACAGCCATACACAAATCCTCATAATTCAATTCCAAAGGCATTTTACAAGTTATAATCTTGGCAACGAACAAAATATTTATCCCAGAAGCACGCAACCTTTTGTTCCCCCATGTGAGCCACTTGTCCCTATTGGGCTCATGCAAAATGGAAGCTTCCTTCATTGTGCTAATTTTTAAAAATGTGTTTGTGCCAAATACTATCCCGTATCTCTAGACCACAGCTGGGGGAAGCATGGTCCCTTGTTGACTTGTGGACTTCAACTCCCAGAATTCTTGAGGATGCCATTTTAATAGGAAAGGTTCTAAGGCAGAGGTGGGGGAACGACGGCCTCTTGATGACTTGTGGACTTCAACTCCCAGAATTCCTGACCTGGACATTTTAATATGTAAGACTCAGGTTCTAAGGCAGAGATAGGGAATGATGGCCCCTTCTTGACTTTTGGACTTCAACTCCCAGAATTCCTGAGGCCGCCATTTTAATATGAAAGATTCTAAGGCAGAGTCGGGGAACTGTGGCCCCTTTATGACTTTTGGACTTCAACTCCCAGATTTCCCAAGCCAGCCATGCTGGCTCTGGAATTGTGGGAGCTGAAGTCCACAAGTCATAAAAGGGCCATCGTTCCCCATGCTGGCTTGGGAGTTCTGGGTGTTGAAGTCCACAAGTCATAAAAGGGCCATCGTTCCCTGTGCTGGCTTGGGAATTCTGGGAGTTGAAGTCCACAAGTCATAAAAGGGTCATTTGTCACCATGCTGGCTCTGGAATTCTGGGAGTTGAAGTCCACAAGTCAAAAAAGGGCCATTTGTCACCATGCTAGCTCTGGAATTCTGGGAGTTGAAGTCCACAAGTCATGAAAGGGTCATTGGTTACCATGCTGGCTTGGGAATTCTGGGAGTTGAAGTCCACAAGTCATAAAAGGGCCATCGTTCCCCACCACTGCCTTAGACCCATCGTTTTGTGCTGTGGAACTTTATATCACTGCTGTAACATATATAAAATGGTGAGCGACCAGATGATATATTTATTCCATGGATGAGAAGGCTTAAACCCCCAAATGTCTTGACCATGCATTTGTTAACTATTATAAAAGGATCTAGGTTTTATTTTCACTAATCCTATCCTTTAAAAAAAGAAAGAAAGAAAGAAAGAAAGAGCCAACTCATGTCCTATCCAGTTCACAGAAAGAAAGAAGCCGCAGAAGTCCAAGGAGAAGACCAACAAGTTAACCATCAATGGAACAGATACCTAATGCACCATGGACATGAGATGCAATATTGAAAAACTATAGCCCATATTTTTGCAACAGTTCAGATTGCCATGGACGTTTCCTTTCTGGGAAATCGTCGGGGATGTGAATCTTTTTAAACTCCTGAATACATTTTTTCATCTCTTCTTCAACGCTGAGTTTCTCTGAGACCTTTTTCTTGGAAAGGTTTGTTTCTCTGGACTTACTCATCAGAGTCTGGAAAAGTTCGCTGTTTCGACGTTTCTCTGGCGGGGGCATTTTCTGAACCGGAGCCTTCTTCGATGGGCGATCCAATGTCAGGGTATTGGACTCGTGGCTCGTAGGCTGCTGAGCGCTAGTCGCATTCTCTTGAGGCGTGCTCGCTTCGGAATGGCTCTCGCAACTGGAGGTGGACAATTCATTGCAGGACGTTCCGCTCTCGCTTCCTTTGTCCGTCACCTTTTCGTGTTTGTGATCTTCATGCTCTTGTTTGGGAGACACCGTTCTCTGTGGTGGTCCTAGCAAACATAAAGAGTTCAAATTATTAGGGGACAACGGCCAATCTGCAAACATTTTCAATGTCCTGTAAGTTCAATTAACAAACACACACACACACACACACACACTCACACATACACACAACTACGAAAGATCAGTTGGAGGTCTGGGAATGTGTCCAAGAAAATCGTTCTCCATCTGGCTGAGTTTGGAGCACTCCTTTGGAGTGTCAAATGACCCTGGCAGAGTCTTCTGAAGCAGTGCAGAGGCCATGATGAATTTCCAAATTTGGATGTTCAGAACCTTTCTCACTAGAATAATATTTTATTTTCCAGGCTTGCCTAGGGTTTCAGTCAAGGATCATTCCTAACCACAACCATATTTTATTTTCAAAACCACTTTATATGTCTCAGTCAGAGGTGGGCTACCGCCTGTTTACAACGGTTCGGATGTACCGGTTGTTATGATTCTGCACAGTTTGGCGAACCGGCAAATTTCACTACTGGCCAGTTGATATAACCCCCCTTTTTAACTGGGATGTCTGCTCCTACAATTATCTACATTCTTCAGACCCCAGTAACTACCGGTAATGCCATAATATGATTGACTCTAGGGAGACCAAAAGCCAACACAGTTGTAAGCTGCATAAACAAGAGGGATAGAATCAAGATCACATGACGTGTTAATACCACTTTATCATGCCTTGGTAGAGCCATACTTGGAATACTGCATCCAGTTTTGGTCGTGCCAAATATATAAAAGATATAAAAAAGATGTTGAGACTCTGGAAAGAGTGCAGAGAAAAGCAACAAAGAAGATTAGGGGACTGGAGACTAAGACATATGAAGAACGGTTGCAGGAATTGGGTATGTCTACTCTGATGAAAAGAAGGACTAGGGGAGACGTGGTAGCAGTGTTCCCATATCTCAGGGGCTGCCACAAAGAAGAGGGAGTCATTCTCCAAAGCACCTGAGGGAAGAACAAGAAGCAATGGGTGGAAACCAATCAAGGAGAGAAGCAACCTAGAATTAAGGAGAAATTTCCTGACAGTTAGAACAATTAATCAGTGGAACTGCTTGCTTCCAGAAGTTGTAAATACTCCAACACTGGAAGTTTTAAAGAAGAGATTGCATAACCATTTGTCTGAAATGGTGTAGGGTTTCCTGCCTAAGCAGGGGGCTGGACTAGAAGACCTCCAAGGTCCCTTCCAACTCTGTTATTCTATTTTCTATTATACGGAAGTGACAATGCCTACTGGGTCTCTTAAACAGGTGCCATACGTGGCACATTATATACAATCTACATCCCAATTTCTGATTGCAATGGTTGATAAGTATTTGGCAGATGGAACTAGCCAATGTTTTTTAATTATGATTATTTTTTTTCCCTGCTGTAAACAGGAAGAAAACATCTCTTTTCTCGCGCCATCAAACCTAGGAGTTGATGGATAATCAGAGCAGGCTGGAGTGCATAGACATTTCCCAAAATAGAAAAACAAAATGTGTATTTTATTGTTCTATAGATTATAAGGCTGGCATCTTTCTTGGTTCACATCCATCTACCACCAGGAATGTTGCTATGACCACAGAGAACCAACAAGAAGGGTTGTTGGGTAAATCTAGCTAATCAAAAGAAGGAATAGGAGCGACATGATAACAGTCTTACAGTATTTGAGTGGTTGTGATAAAGAAGAGAGAGTCAACCTATCTTCCAAAGCAGGGGACTCCAACCTTGGGAAATTTAAGACTTGTGGACTTCAACTTCCAGAATTCCTCAACCAGCTGTGCTGACTGAGGAATTCTGGGAGTTGAAGTCCACAAGGTCTTAAAGTTCCCCAAGGTTGGTGTCCCCTGGTCCAAAGCACCAAAAGGCAGGACAAGAAGCAACAGATAGAAACTAATCAAGGAGAGAAGCAACCAAGAACTAAGGAGCAATTTCCTGACAGTAAGATAAATTCATCAGTGGAACAACTTGCCTCCAGAAGTTGTAGGCACTCCAACACTGGAGGTTTTCAAGAAGAGTTTGGACAGCCCCTTTGTCTGCAATGGTGGAGGGCCGTGATGGCGAACCTATGGCACGTGTGCCACAGGTGGCAGGCAGAGCCATTTGTGCCGGCACACAAGCTACAGGCAAACTTACCTCACTGCGCATTATTTCC